TATATATATATTCATTGTTAATTATTAAGCCCAGGGACTTAGCGCTATGTTATCTTCTCAACCATATTTTTCATTTTTCATTTGAGACATGGTCTGAATAAATTACTAAGTTCCCCAAGCTGTGCTTGGTAACCTCCTGAGTCTATCTCCCAGAGTGCTGGGAGTACAAAAGTACATCACCATACTCAGCTGAAAGATACATTTTTGTTGTTCAGATCCACCTTACCTTGTAGAAATTTGTTATGGAAACCCTAGAAAGTAATATAATTGCACTCACAGCACTTTCTGGATTTGTCTTTGCCTTTTTCGTGTATTTCATGTTTTAACAGACTTTCCCATTACTGAAATATTGTACCAAAAGAGAAGCATAAGATAGCAAGCTCACAAAGAAAAACTGTCAGCAGTCACAGTCTCTAACATAGTATAATAGTTATTATATATGTACACAGTGTTCATACTTTAATAACCACCAATAGCCAGTAGATATCAAAACCAAAGTTTTTCCACTTAACCCATGTTGTTGACAAATAAACATATGAGCTGGGCACAGTGGCAAATGCTTATAATCCCAGCATTCATGGCAGCTAAGGTAGAAGGATTCCAAGTTTAAGCCCATCCAGAGCAACTCATCGATTTAATGAAAGCCTGTCTCAAAATAAAAAAAAAAATAGAATAGGGCGATAGCTCAGTAGGAAGGCTCTGCATTCCATTAACAATATCACCAAAAAATAGTCGATGTATGGGCCATTGACCTGATGTTGTGGAGCCTGACAAAAGAGGGTACAAAATGTGCTCCCATTCCACCATTAACAGGACTCTGGAACCTGAGACTAGCGGGAACACCAGTGACACAGTAGGACCCTGGCTACAGTGCACAAGATGGATGGGAGGGACTAGTGACCAGCAAAACTCTGAAGCAACAGTAACAATATGAGCCAGCTGTTGGTAAGTCCGGTGAACCAGCTCTGAGCTGGCGGACCAGGACACATGAGACAGAGGTGGACATGTAGGGCCAACTGCATTCCTTTTCGTTACTTCACCCTTTTTATTCTCCTTTTTTCTTTTTTAAATGTCTGGGGAGAAGTTCATCCACAGAAAACTAATCCCATCCCCCAAAACCAGAGACAAAGATGAGACCCAAACCCAGCACAAATCCACCTGCAATCTTGCTAGAATACACATTCTGGGATCAGACTTGGACATACCATAGAACTGTAGACACTATAGAATTTCACCAAGGGAAACACTAGAGGAATTTTACTTGTCTACTGATGGGATTTTCTCTTGGAAGTCAGCTGGATTAAGAAGGCTGTTTTTGTTTTTTGTTGTTGTTGTTGTTGTTGTTGTTGCATTTTTCTTTGATACTGGAAATCGAACTCAGGACCTTGCACTTGCCAGGCAGGTGCTTGTGCCATTGAGCAATATCCCTGGCCGTTCTGCTGGTTTTTTCTTTCTTTTTTTTTCCTTTCCCTCTTTTTTGGTCTTTTTCTGTCTGTTCTGTTTTGGCCTGCTTTGTACTTTCTGTAGGTTTGTTACTTTTTTGTTTCCAGGTGTGTGGTGAATTTTGTTTCCTATTTTTGTTTCTCTTTCTTTTTACTCCTTCTTTTCTGTTTGCTACCTTTTTCCTCTCTCATTTATGATTTAGATCTTTAAACTTTCTCTTTATATTATTCTATTCATCCTCTTTCTCTCTTCTTTTTTTCTCATATCAGGAATCGAACTCAGGACCTCGTGCTTACCAGGCAGGTGTTTGTGCCACTAAGCTATATTCCCTGCCTCTTCCTCTCTTTTGTCAATGATCTGGCTTGATTTTATGAGACTTTCATGTGAGTGACATTGTCTCTTCTCTTTCTGGTTCATTTCAGTATTCCTAGGCTTTCTCTTCCAAACCCTTCTTCTCATATCCTACAGTTACCGAAAATTCGGATGATTATCCTATGCACACAAAACTGGATCCTACTACATTCAGCCTCATCCACCTCTCTATCCTACTCCCTATCCCTCTTTAACCCACCAAAACAACAGGGTAAAATCACTCTACTAAGTGGAAAAACATTCTTTACAAGTTCTACAAGTCCAACTACTACAAGTGTAGTTTAGACTATGTTATATAATGATAGAATTTGCTCCTATGGTTAAAGAAATCAGGCTAATAGTTACCACAGTCTTCCAGTAGCCAGACTGTTGCTGAGTTTATTGTTATTGCTAACTGTATTCTGTAACCAGAATGTCATACCTCTTATGCTCAGCTGTTCTACCCTGTATGACAATGCTGCGATTTCAAGGGGTCATAACCATCACCATAGTCCAGCACCAAAAGGAACAGGTCTTCAGTCAAATTGATAGCAACTCCACATTCTTAATGAATTGGGAAGGTAGGTTCATGGGACACACATAAACATCAAGAACCACCTATATCTAGAAGACAACATGTGAAACACACATCTCCTAGGAAAACCTGGACACAAGGCATGAAACTACCTAACATAAGAAATCTATAGGTATCAACACAGAAAACAAACTAAAATTAAAAATAAAAAATGACAAGAGGAAGAAGCAGAATGCAACCCCAAATGCCTACCTAACCAAGGACAAGTCCAGAGCACAAAGAGATAGAGGAAATCAGAAGCCAACCACTGGAATTCTCTGAAATGATAGCAGCAAAAGTCAAAAAAGCAAGTGCAAGAGGACATACAAAAAAATAATAGCTATGGTTCAAAAAGAAATGACGATCAAAATGAACGAAATTAAAGCAGACACATAAAAAAAATAAAGGAGCTTTGGAAAATGATAGAAGCAATGAATGTGCAACACAGACAAGAAGTGGAATCAATGAAACAGATCAAAAGAGAAATCCAGGAGATTAAAAACGCCATTGAAAGTGTATGCAACAGATTGAATGGAGGCGAGGATAGGTTATCAGACCTAGAAGACAGGAATGTGAGTAGCACCCAGGAAAAGAAAGATATCTTAAGCATACCAAAGGATCATGAAAAATCAATTCAGCAGCTGATGATGAAGCAAAGAAGAATAATGTAAGATTGCCTGGTCAGTGATAAAGCCGGAGACAGCACAAAACACATTAAAAACCTCTTCACAGAAATAATGGCAGAAAACTTCCCAAACATGGACAAAGAATTTCACATATAAATAGATAAAGCATATAGAACTCCAAATAGCTATAACCTAAATCAATCTACACCAAGGCATATAATAATCAAGATTCCAGAAATTCAATGCAAAAACAAATTATTAAAAGCAGCTAAAAAAAAACCAAATCAACCATAAAGGAAAACCCATCAGAATTACAGCAGACTTCTCAGCACAAACCTTCAAATAAAAGAGACCCTGGAGTAGAGTATTGTAAGCCCTGAAAGCAAGCAATCTTCAAACCTGATTGATATACCCTGCAAAACTATCTTTCAAAAATAACAGAGAAATGAGGTACTTTCATGACAAAACTAAAGAAACTGATGACTACTATTCTACATCTACAGAACACTCTGAAGGATATATTAGAAAGAGATAATGAAGACCACAAAAATATGACCACCAATAGACAGAAGCTACCAAGCAGGTCAAGAAATAAACAGAGGCAAAAGACAGGGAACCAACAACAAGAAAATAACATAAAAAAGAAAAGCCAGTACATATCAGTTATAACCATCAATCTGAATGGTCTCAACTCACCAATCAAAAGAAAGAGAATGGCAGAAAGGAACAAGAAACAAGATCTAACAATATGTTGCATTCCACAAACACATTTAACCAAAAAGGAAATTCATAAATTAAAAGTCAAAGGATGGAATACAATTCTCCATGCCACAGGAACCCAGAAAAAAGCAAGGGTAGCTATTCTATTGGCAGACAATGTAAACTTTAAACAGTCAATGTACAGCATTCATGTTTATTAATTTATTTCTGCTTCATTCTACATGATGGAGCAGGTGGTGATGCTAAAAAGGGGGTCCCAAACAAAGTTGCTAACAGAGGCAGAGGCTCCCCAAACAAAATAGTGGTGGTGTTTCCCACTTAGTGTAGAAAAATCAATCGGAGTAAGAAAAGAAGTTCACGTAGGGTGGGGTTATAGATGTTGAGATAGCGGTGGGGATGGCTCTCAATTTGGCAGTGTGTGTGTTCGAAGAGCTCTTCAAATTCATGAGCCATCTGAGGGGTCATGCTCCTGTAATACAAATAATCAAAAGTTTAAGTGCTTGCCATAAAATATGCAGCCCAGAATACACAAAAGTAGATGCTTGAGAGATTTTTTAGAGGTTATACATGGGTTATTAATTTATCAGTGTTATTCACTTATCAAACTAATGAATTTATTCATTTTTACCAAGCTCAGGATTTCACCCAAGGCCTAACAAATGATCAGCAAGCATTTTATGACTGAGATATATACCCTGCCCTGGATTGTTTTTAAATGAAATATTAGCAGGGTGTGATGGTAAATGCTTGTAATCCCAGCACTGTTGGAGGCTGAGGTAGGAGAGTCACTACCTCAACTCCAGCCAGGACAACCTAGCCAGTGAGTGACTCAGCCTCAAAAGTGTGAAAAAGAGAAGAGAGCGCTGCAGATATAACTTAGTGCAGAGACCTTGGGTTCAATCTCCATTATAAAAAAAAAAAAAAACCATTATGAATACATTTATCGAAATCCTGAAATTCTTTTCTCAAAAGCACTTTTGTCTATGATGAATAGGAAAACAAAGCACTTTTGCCTGTGTGATATGTAGCTCCAAAAGTCCCAGTACAATTTAAGGAGCTAACACATGGATGTTTTCCACACATGAAAATGGGCTACTGTCTTAGAAAATAAGATCTATGGAGTTACTTAAACTAAAATGTAGATTTACCAAAAAATCTGCCTTGAGTCCTATTTTTCCATCTCACAAAAAAAAATTTGTGCCATAACTCTGAAAATGTGATACAACACAAACTATAGTTAGGATCTTTACCTAGTTGCCTCGTTATTAGAATTTTGTTTCAAATTCTTTGAGTTTTTCTTTCCTTTTTTAGGTCTAGGATGGTTCGACTCTGAATTCTCCATTTATCTGAAATAGAAATGTACATTTAATAATTCAGTTTGGGGAAATCTCTAAGTAATATTGCATATGAAATAAAGCGTTTTTGCACCTTAAATTCCACGTCATGACTATTTTCATAAATATTAAGTACCCATGTGGTTGTGAGGTAAGTGCTTCTGGTGAGGGTAATAGTCAGAAGGATTATGCACACCACTCAATTCGAATGAACAGATACTTCTCAAAAGCAGAAGTACAGATGCCTCATAGTTTCATGACAAACACTTTCACATTTTTGATCATTAGGAAAATGCAAATCAAAACAATACCCAGATTCTGTCTTACTCCAGAAAGAAGGCTGTCCTCAAGCACTCCCACAACAACAAATGGTGGTGAGATTGTGGGGAAAGGAACCCTTCTGTATTGTTGATCAGAATGTAAACCACTACAACTACCTTGGAAATCGCTATGGAGAGTCCTCAGAAAACAAAGAATAGAGATTCTATTGGACCCAGCCAAACCTCTTCTGTGTATGTCCCCAAAGAAGCTAAACACATCATATTAACAGTGATACACGCATACTCCTGTTTACAGCAGCACAACTCCAAGTAGCCCAAACTTGGAAGCAGCTTATAAGCCACCAACAGATAAATGATAGAGAAAATATTGTATATATACAAAATGAGTACTACTCAGTCACACAGAGGGACAAATTTGAGTCATGTGTAGGAAAATGGGTGCACCTTGAGTTCATAACGCTAAGTAAAATAATTCAGGCACAGAAGGTTAAATGTCACATGGTTTCCCTTATGTGAGAAATCGAAAGTACAAATAATTTAAGGAACGAAATAAAAGACAGACGACAGAAAACAGAGAGGTAGCTATTTAAAAAAAGAGGTAGCTATTTTTTTAAAAAAGCTATTTTTTTAATCTATTCAGTTTTTATAAGCAAATGCTTATCCCTGAGCTACCCTGAGGGGGACAAGACAGAAAGGAGAGGTAGCAGAAATAAAAAGGGATGCGCGATTTGTGTGCACCAATTCCCTGTGATGAATGTATTTATTATGTATTGCACACACATACTACTAAAAAATTTTAAGAAGAAATATGCCCCAACTGAAGACAAATAATCTCACTTTCATTCATAGAAAAAACTACTGAAAAAGAAACAATGGGTGAACCAAGGAGTTTTCTTTCATTCATTGTGCATATTTTAACTGTTTTGCTATTGAAATTTAGATCTTAGAAACTAATGAAGAAGAAATAGGCCTATTTTAAGAGGGGATCCTCTGCCTTTGCAGATCACAGCAGTTTCTGCCTCAGGCATGGGGCCTTCCCACTCTCTCCTCCCCTAGGGCCACACCTGGGTAGGCTAACAGAGGGTTTCACAGGTCTCCAAAACCCTTCTCCTGCTCCTGCTCCTGCTCCTTCTCCTCCCCCTCCCTTACCAGGACTTTACTCCCTGTCTGGTGGGGCCCACCCTCACCTTCCTTTTCTTCCCTTAGGTTCCCTACCTAACTGAGGCTGACCTCATGGCTAAAGTTTTAAATCTGTTATTTTTGAGTAAATGTCTCTGTTTGAGCTCATTTTTTCCCACCACAAACTATAGAAACCTTTGTAACATTATCTCTGGAGCTCAGAAGTTTTCAAGCATGAGCTTTTCTGAACCAGGCTAGACAAATAAAAGCCTCCCTCTGCCTCTCCAGGAGTGCACACTTTGTTCCTTACACCATCTGAAAGTCTGGAATTCTGTTTTCCACAACCTGATGTGGTCATTTAATACTTTATCCCATACATTTAAATGCAACAAATTAGAAAATGTGACATAAAATTAAGATGCACTTCACAGGTGCACAGATAGAAAGACCATGGTACATGCATACAATGGAATATTATTCAATATTTAAAAGAAATGCAGTATCAAGCCGAGAGTAGACATGTAAAAACCTGAAGTGCATATCATTAAGTAAAACAGCCAAGCTGAGAAGACTGCATACCACAGCTTCCCACTTAGGTCACATTCTGGACAATACAAACTACGTAGACAGTGAAAAGACAGGTAGAGGTCGGGGAATGGGAGGATAGAGAAGAAGAGAAAGGACAGGGGAGAACAAGAGATTTTTAAGGAAACAAAAATATTGTGCGGTACTCTAGTGATGGACAGACATCATTTTACAATGTTTTATTTTGCTGCAGTGCAGGGGATTGAACCCAGGTCTCGCTCATGACAGGTAAGAGCTCTGCTGGTAAGCACCAACTCCAGCCCCCACCTTGCATATTTGAAGCCTGGAGAATACAGAGCACAGAGGAAACCTAATGTAAACTGAGGACTTCAGTGAATGACGATGCACCCGACTGGCTGACCTGTCACAGCAAATGCACACCCTGAATCCACACGTTATGAACAGGGAAAACCGGTAGTGCGACAGGGGAGTCCTTGGGAACCTCTGTACTTTCCACTCACTCTTCTGTAAGCATAAAGCTATTTTTTTAATCTATTAAGTTTTTATATGCAAATGCTTATCCCTGAGCTATAACCCCAGCCTAATAAAGTCAATTAATTTTTGAAAAGCTGGTAAACATTTCAATCTCTTCATTTGCTATACTTAAACAGAAATAAACTATCAAATGTGAATCCTCAAATTGATATCCCTTGACTCAAAGTAGAATTTTTCTACTGCAGCATGAACTG